CAACGTCATGCGCGGCCGTGAGTTTGTAACCAGACCGAGTTTTGTCACGGTGTCGAATAGCGCCTGCAGAACAAATGATCTGGCAATTTTACGCAGTCGAGATGTCACCCTGGAAAGGGCTTTGCGGGCACCCCAGGTGAGGCTCCAGATGGCTTGTGATGACGAGGACGCGTCGGAGGCGGTGGCGCCAGGGCGCCACGGCCGGGCGTTCTGCAGCTGGATTTGGATTGACACGTCGCCCACGACGTCGCGCGACAAGCGACCCAGCAGCTGGCGGCTAAATGACGTCGAAGGGATAGCCGAAGAAGAATAAGAAGTCCCTTGGGAACTGGCAAGGCGCAGCACAAAGAGCCCGGCCGAGCAGTCTCACAAGGTGGAGCTCGAAGGCGACGTCCCCGATCCAGAAAGAGAACCCGTGAATTCACGAACCGGAAATCCGCGCGTATTCATGCTGGATATGCGCGGCCGTTTTACGCGGTGGGGCCAAGCCGCTGGGCCCCCGCCTCCCGTTCCCCGCAATGCTGGCAGAGTCTTGGATGCCGCTGGCCACGGTGACCGTGGCGAAGTCCACACCCACCTGAAGGACCTGCCCGTGAAGCGCTGCAAAAACCTCCCGGGCCTCTTCCACAGACTCGAGGTACAGACGAGCCTGGAATAGCAGCATCATCTCGGGCTGCAAGGTGCACCCACTGCCCGGGCTGGGGGGCTGCCCCGTCGGAGAGCGGGATGCAGGCTGAGGCCTGCGGCTGCGCAGACGCGGGATGAGAGCTGGCTGGAGACCGTCACATCTGCCTCGTCAACCTCCCCGATCCGAATCTCCGCGACTTTGTTCAAGAGGGAGCAGCCCTGGTCAGGGCGGCCACGCCGTCTGCGAGAGGCTGCCAACGCTGTGGATGTAGCCAGAGGGCAGATCCAGGAGCGGCCACCGAGGCGGCTCGGCTTCCACTTCAGTTTCGTGAGCACGATCCCCCCATCCTCCTGAAGAGTCTGCTTGAGCAGTGTGGTCCAAGACTCGCTGGGCGCAGACATCAAAATGAGCGCGCGCGGTCCGTGGAGAGGTAGAGAGAACCTACGCCCAAAGCGGCTGGGCCTTGCTGAACGCCACCGGGCCATTACACTCCATGATCAAGGCATCGGAAGAAGAGTAGACGGCCTTGTGCCGGTAGTATATCTGAAAGGTGAAGACACGCCGCCGCAAGAAGCGCATGGCGAGCTCGGAAGCGACCTCGGAGAGACCGCTGGGAAGGAGGACCTCCACCAACAACCAGCGACAATCTGCCATGTTGTCTGAACTTCTAGAGAAATGCCGGCACATCATCTTTAAGAGGTTGGCATTAAACTCTGGACTATGCAGAGTTCGCATGAAGATCGACAGCAACTCGTGAGGGACAAGTCGACCCAGAGGGAATTGACGGCAGGGAGTTGCAGGAGAGGTGACAAAGGTGAACGAATACTGGGTGGGGTGCAGGAGCCATCTGTGCCGCTAGTTAAGCATGCCAAACCCTGGCGAACATGACGAGGAGCGTTCCAGCCAGAAAGTATGTTCTCGATGGGCTGCAAGATCAGGTCCAGTGTATCGACGATCGCTGCGTGCTTGTCTCTGAGGTGGGGCTGCCGCCATAGATGACTAATTTAGCGGGCGTGTCCACGCCAGGGAAGTGCGGCAGGAGCGTCAAAAATATAAGTGCTTCGGGCCGTTTCGACCGGTCGGGTGTTCGCAAGATCACCGCCATGATGCGCCGGAGCGCATTCGTGTCCGACGGGTTCCAATCAATGATCTTCTTGCCCCCCAGGTGGATCAACGCTTTCTCGTCGCCCTTCTCTTGCAAGTCCGCCAATTGGCGGTGCTGCCGCACGGTCTGCGGCCAGTCCACCGGGGCCTCTTTGAGCAGCTCCGAGGACAATTGCGTAGCGAGCATGGCCTGGCTACAGGAGAGGACTGTACGAGCAGCCTCGAGCGCCGAAGCGCCGAGTTCTTTCCACAGTGCGAGTCTGGAGGGGCGTAGGCGTCGGCGTTCCCTGGGGACATCCAGCTGGGACTCGCAGGAGGCGCCCGCGCCAACGAAGACAACCCACGCGTCTGCTGCACGCAGCTCTCTCTTTCCTGGTCCCGATTGGCATCCTGAGCAAGAGTGCTCAACGTGGTTGCCGCCCTGCTGCGTGAGACGATCGCTTCCTCAGTAGGCTTAGGCCCGTGCAATGGGCCAGATCTCACCAAAGTATGCCAAAGGGTTTGTGACCGCGGGGTTGAAAGCAACAGATTGTCCCAGCTGACAGGAGGGGTGAGCAGCATGTTCACGGCAACCTGGGGCAGCGTCGCACTGCCAGCGTGGACCAAAGTGAAATTCGGCGGCGGGCGAGGGGGGGAAATGAGAAAGAAAAGGGCTCCGAAGAAGGCGGCGGGACTTCTCAGAAGGCATCGGGCCTTCTGAAAGGTTCTCTGCGTCTTTGGGGAAGGCTCAGACAACTTCTCAGAAGGCCGGGGGACCTCTGAGGCTTCTGAGAAAGCCCGCCCCTTCTCACTTCCCCCTCGGGGCTCGCCGCCGAGAAACGGCTCAAAACCTCATCCTTGATCGTCTCACGGAGCACACCGGGAGGCAAGAGAGCACAGGTAGCCCAGGAGGTGCCACAGCCCGTGCGGTTGCCGGGGGCGCCGTCGGCGCGGCCGCCTGAGCGGCGGCTGCGACGGCGGCGTCTGGCTCACCTCGTGCAACCCTGTCGACGTCGATGTCGAAGTTGTTCAAGCAGAGGTGGACGGTATCCTGGGACAGGCTGCAGTAGGAGCTCGACCACGGGAAGCCCTCCACAAGCAGCCCAACCCTGAGACCACGGGGCGTTCATGGAGTGTTGGTGTGGGAGCGTCACGCTCTCCACAGCACAACCATCGAAACCCAAGAAACCCAGGGCGCCCTGGAGGCAGGCAGAGCGTTTCTTGGCAGGGGGTTCCACTGTGCAGCGCCGGCCCCACACGCGGCCTCGCAGGCGGCCACAGAGCGGCCCCAGGGCGGCCCCAAAGGCGGCCCCGAGGCGCCCTTTTGGGGCGGCCTCGGGGCTGCATCGACGCGCCTTCAGAGCGGCCTCCGGGCGGCCCTCCAGGTGGCCTCCGGGCGGCTTCTGGGGTGCTTCTTGGCATGGGCTTCCACTGCAGTGCCGCCGTCGTCGTGGCCCAGGCCTGGGTCGCGGATGGCGGGGCCGCCGCGGCCCGCGGCGCCTGGAGGCGCCTGGCCGCAGCGCGGGCAGCGGCCCAGCTCGTCCGTCGAGGCGGGCAGCGCGGCGAACGGGCCCGCCATCACAAACAGAAAAGAGCCTGAGAGGGAGGGAGGGTGGTTGGAGGAGCCCGAGTGCGCCCGGTGCGTGGGTAGCAGCAGCTGGCACACCTAATTTGGTGCAAATTGGCGGGGCAATTCGATGCATATTCGGTTTCTCCGGAATGTTCTCTCCCGCGCATGGTCCCGGAGATCCGCTATACAGATGCCGTTATGGCTGGCCGCTGTGGTGACATCGCCTACAGCTTGTGCTGCTCATGGTTGTCTGCTGTAGTTCGGCTTATGGCAGGAGCGAACCCCTGTAGATCGGGTCCGTCACCTACACCACAATGTTCGGAAGTGCGCCCGGTGCGTGGGCACTTTTGAGCCCAAACTCAAGCCCCGCTGCCACACGACTTTTCATCAGGCACCCGTGAACTGTCAATCATCCGCAGGAGCAGCTCTCGGGCCTCGTTGAGCATGCCAAGCTGAAAGCGAGCCCCCGACACAGCATTTTACGACGCCCAGTCGAGCTCAATTCCTAACGCCTTCATCTCACTGTAAATATTTAGTGCGAATGCTGGATCGGACCGCACGTGGGCCACCACGATGTAGCGATATAACCATATGCTGAGGATGACTCCTCTTCGTCTCCTTCCTGGGCGCGTGGACCGCACTGGGGGCGGCGCTGGAGGCGCCGCCTGGGGGTGGCAGACACAGAAAACTCCGCGCGGCCACTCAGAAGTTTGGGTCTACGCCGCGGAGCTCCCGACGTCATGATTTTGTCACAGCGTCGACCCCCAGGTGGTCTCTGGACCCCTTCCCTGGGACCGGCCCTTTTGTCCTATGAGCCGTCTGCTGCCGCTCCCGAGGGGCCCGGCATATAGGGGCCCCCGTGGAGGCCGGCGATAGCGAAACACCTGCGGCCGCGATGGCTGTGCGCAGCGCGAGGGGGTCTGGGAGGTGATCCCCCGCGGCAGGCGGAGCCCTCGGGGCAGCAGGGCGGCACGCGGAGCAGCGGACCCCCCCGGGCACCCACAGCGCGGCGCAAGCCCGGCACGCGCCGCCGGCGGCCCACGAGGGCGGGGGCCGCGGCGAATTCAGCGGCGGCGACGGCGGCGGCCTCCCCGCAAAGCCAGGCCCCGCGGGGCCGCGGGGGCCCCGGAGGCCCGAGGCGGGGCGAGGCAAGCACCCGTCCGGGAGCCTCGGTCCGATCGGTCCTCGGTCCTCGATCCTCTCGGCGGTGGACAAACCTCCCTTTCGTAGACCTCCCCTTAGTGAGCACGGCCTGGGACCGAAACCGACGGACCTGGACCCGCAAAAATGACGGCCGCGACGCCCTCTCGCGAACCGAACACGGCCAAGTCCTTAATCGACGCGTCAGGGTAGGAGGTCTGTCCACCCCCGATCCTCAAGCACCGATGCCGCCCTTCCTCGGGGCCTCTCCTGGAGTGCGCTCCGAGGCCAAGAGAGCTCCGAGCGGGGAGCTGTGCGGCCGCGGCGGCGGGGGCCCCGCAGCCAGCGGCACCGAGCCGCGGCGGGCCGCGGCACGGCGGCCCCCCCTGGCCGAGGCGGGGGGGGGGAGGCAGGCGAGAGGCTTACCAGCCTCGAACGCATCCCTATCCCTAAGATTGACACACCAAAAGGCGATGACAATCTTAGGGATGCGCCCTCAAAACATACATAATGAATTCAGTAATATTGGCGAGGGGAAATCGGAGGAGGCAGGGCGAGGGGCGCGGCCGAGCGCGCGGCCCGCTGGCGGAGTAGCCCTGGAGGAGGTCGGGGCCCAGGCGCCGCCCGCAGTAGTACGTGTCCTGAGGGGGGGCGGGGCGGCCCTCTCCAGGGAGGGCCTCCTCTCGCGGAGGGGGGCGGCCCTCTCGAGGGAGGGCCTCCTCTCGCGGACCCTCCGGGGGAGGTGTCGCTGCAGGGGGCGCAGGCACACCCAAAGAGAGAGAGGCACACGACCCCCAGGGTCCCCTCCGTGCGGCCCCCCCCACGTGCGGGGGAGGTTCGCATTCCCCTCCACGTCCCACGGTGTCCATGTGTTCCTGGGACTCGACGATCATTGGTGTCTGCATGATTTTCCCCTCCTGAGCTTATTCCCACCGCGAACACCAGGAGATGGAATGGTATCGATGCCGCTACCTTGGCTCCGATTTCGCCTTGTTGGGCCTCCTGGGAGGCCCTCGTCGCCACCGCTGGGTTCGCATCGCAGTTTTGGTCAGAACGCGCCCCAGGAGAGGCCGGGGAAGTAGCAATATGGGAACCTGTTGGTTTCCCGGGGGCAGCCCGCATCGTTTTCCCCTCGCCAACTCGTCGGAAGCGGGGCCGCGCGCGAGCGCCTTCCGTTCGCTGGGTTGGACCGCGCGCCATTCCCAAGTCCACGTTGCGCCAGCACTGAATCTCAGGCTCTGAGAAATCGGCGTTGTGGGGCCGGGCTCGCTGCTCCTCTTCCTCCTCCAACTCCGACTCCGTCGGAGGAAAGCGGGTCCAGTGGGGGCCGGGTTTCGTACGACGCCCAACTGCTGACCCAGACCCCCGGCGCCATGATTCTTTCACGACGTCGACCCCCAGAGGTCCCGACCCTTTCCCGATGACCGGCTTTTCATCCAGAGTCGTTTTTTGACGGCCCCGAGGCCTGGTGGAGGCTTCAGGGCCGAAAATTGTGAAACATTTCCCGTCGTCATTTTTGTGATGACTCAAGCGGGTGTGGGTACGCAGGACGGGCAACTTGCTTCTTGAAGCGCGAACGTCGCCACGCGGGCAGCTGGCAGCTGGCTCCGCGTAACCGTGGCGCCGTGGAAGGCAGCGGAGGGGGCGCCGAGGCGCTTAGAACAGCTGCAGAACAGAACAGAATCAGCAGAAACTCTTACAGTGGAGGCCAGTCCACAAGAAACCTTCCACAACAAACCCAACCCTGAGACCCCAAGAAGTCCATTGATTTTTGGCGTGGGAACGTCTCGCTTCCCGTGGCAAAACCATCGAAACCCAAGAAACCCAGGGCACCCTGGAATGTGTAAGGAGCGCCAGAGGGATCCTGGGAACAAGACCCCGTCTACAGCAGAACCCTTCTCGTCCCCGTAGAATCTTGACACGGGCGGGCCCTGGGGCCTCGGATCTGACTTCGTGTCGGTCCCCCCTGCCAGGCTAGTTCAAGTGCACCAACTGAAAGCGGGGATAGAACCCGAGCCGTGTGAAAAGCGGCGCGGGAATCGGAATACAGAAAAACGAGTGAGATAAGATCCACGCGATCAGAAACGATGTCAGATCTTCGCAGCCTTCGACAGACCCGTAGCCTCAAGAACGACGAAAAAAAGGTCGCGCACTCACAGGAAGTGGAAGGCCAAGCTGATAGGATGCAAACGAACCTCCACCATCAAATACGCCGACCCTTCGGCGTGGATGAGACACCGTCGTCGTCTTCGTCATCGTCGTCGCCAGTCCCAATGAGATTTAGAAACGAACCGAGAAAAGAACGTCGTGGTTGAGGCGATTCCCACAACTTCTCCCTTCCATGACGGAGGGGGAGGGGTAGGGGGGGGGGGGTACGGGAAGGGGGGGAGGGGGGGGGGGGGGGTCCCTGGCCGGGAGTCCCCGGTCCCCCCTGCACGGGGGAAGTCTTGAAGGGGGGTCCCAGGCGGGGTCCCGTCTGTGGGTGGGGGAATGCGGTCCCGGATCAGGATAACGGCCCCCCCCCCCAGGGTCCAAGTTCGAGGCCTCCCAGATAGGGTCCGAGTAGATGGGGTCGGAGGATCGCGCCGCATCGCCGATTGATTACCGATGCATCGACGATGCATCGGCGATGCATCGACGATGCATCGGCGATGCATCGGCGATGCGTCAGCGGCGTCGGCGTGAAGAAAATCGGGCTCCGCATCGAGCCGCACCGCCGATGCATCGGCGATGCAGAGTGATTCTTCGACCCCATCTACTCGGACCCCATCTGGGAGGCCTGGACAGGCGGGTCCCGAGGGGGGAGGGCGCCAGGGGGGGGTCCTCGGGGAGGTCCCGCCTCCAGGGTCGGCGGCACAGGCTGCATACGGCCTTTGCAGTGTGCACGCATGCTGTGCACTCTTCCGCGCGCCCTTGGCTGGTGGAGGCGATGGGCGGGGCCTCAAGAGGCGGGCGAAGTGCATCACGGCCCAGTCGCCCGCACACGCACCCACACACCCACACACCCACACACCCACACACACACACACGTTTTGCGTCGGCGGCTGGGCAGAGGGCGACTGGTCCGGCGGATAAGCACACGCACATACACTCGTGACAGCAAATGGCGTAAATAGGGCAAGTCGAGCGGAAGAGCGGAGGACGTGACCACACACACACACACCCACATCCACACCTACACACACACACACACTCACACCCACATACACGCTGACACACACACACACAAACACAAACACACTCTCACACACACAAACAAACACTCTCTCACACACACACACACACACAAATCCACACCCACACCCACACCCACACCCACACACACACACACATTCACACTTTTTCGGCGGTCGCGGCCCCGCGCGCAGCGTCGAGGCTGAGAAAGCCCCAAAGCGAAAGGAGCGCGCGTGCGCGGCCAGCCCCTCAAAGAAGGGCAGGGAACCCATCGGATCGACCATGCGGTGCGCATACCCGGGCATGGGCAGCGTGGGTGCAGAGTGACTCCCGAGGGCAACAAGAGGGCGCGCAGTGAGGCCAGCAGCCTGGACGAGATGCAAGTAAGGGAGGAGAGTGCAAGGCAGCGGAATGACCCAAAATCGCCAGAGGCAATCGCCCAGGCGAGCCGCCGGGAAGGACCGTACTCACACACACACACACAACAAAAACAAACAAAACACTCGGCGGGCTCAACGAGCTCGGGATGGGGGTGCAGGGAGGGGGGCCTGGCAATGGCCCAAGAAAGCCCAGTGGAGCTCCGCGCGCTGCTGCCCAGAACCGTCTTCGAGCGCAGACGACGGCTGAAAGACCCCCAGGCTCCTCTTCCCTCCTCCCTCGCCTCTCCCTCCTCCCTCCCTTCTCCCTCCTCCTCGCTTCCTTCCCCCTCCTCCTCCTCCTCCTCCTCCTCCTCCTCCTCCTCCTCCCTCCTCCTCCTCCTCCTCCTCCTCCTCCTCCTCCTCCTCCTCCTCCTCCTCCTCCTCCTCCCTCGGCTCTTGTGGCCCGGCGGCGGCTCCGTGTAGTGCTTGCGCGTCCCGAGGAACACGGGGGCCCCGTCGTCGTTGCTCGGCGCGTCGCCTGCGAGCCCCGGGGGCGGAGGCGGCCCGGGGGGGCGGAGGCGGGCGCCCGGCGGTGCTCCGCGTCGCGGGTGCTCGCCGCGCAGCCCGGCGGCGCGTGCGCTCTCGGAGGGGACCGCTTCGGCCATGAGCTCCCCCCGCGCGGCGGCGGCTCCGCGGCCAGGCGGGCGCCGCCAGGAGCAGGGCAGGAGGGCGGAGGTGGAGGGGGGGGGGAGGACGATGTGGAAGGTGGGAGGAGGAGGAGGAGGAGGAGGAGGAGGAGGAGGAGGAGGAGGAGGAGGAGGAGGAGGAGGAGGAGGAGGAGGAGGAGGAGGAGGAGGAGGAGGAGGGGGAGGAGGACGGAGGAGGAGGAGGGGGAGGAGGAGGAGGAGGAGGAGGAGGAGGAGGAGGAGGAGGAGGAGGAGGAGGAGGAGGAGGAGGAGGAGGAGGAGGAGGAGGAGGAGGAGGAGGAGGAGGGAGGAGGAGGAGGGGAGGAGGAGGACGGAGGAGGACGGAGGAGGAGGAGGAGGAGGAGGAGGAGGAGGAGGAGAGGAGGAGGAGGAGGGGAGAAGGAGGAGAGGAGGAGGACGGAGGAGGAGGAGGAGGAGGAGGAGGAGGAGGAGGGAGGAGGAAGAGGAGGAGGGGGAGGAGGGGAGGAGGAGGAGGAGGAGGAGGAGGAGAGGAGGAGGAGGAGGAGGAGGAGGAGGAGGAGGGCGGAGGAGGAGGAGGAGGAGGAGGAGGACGGAGGACGGAGGAGGAGAGAGGAGGAGGAGGAGGAGGAGGAGGAGGAGGAGAGGAGGAGGAGGAGGAGGAGGACGGAGGAGGAGGAGGAGGAGGAGGAGGGGAGGAGGAGGAGGGAGGAGGAGGAGGGGAGGAGGAGGAGGAGGAGGAGGAGGAGGAGGAGGAGGAGGGGCGGAGGAGGAGGAGGAGGAGGACGACGACGAAAAAAAAACGCCGGCTGCCAGGCACATCCCGGGCCCGCGATCGGTGTGTACGCCCTGGGCGCAGGACCCGTGGGGCCAGGATCGGTGTAGGTGTACAGCTGGTACCCTCCAAGAGGCTGAACTCGACCAGCGTGGACTCCCGATCCCATGCATATTTCTTCGAGCCTTGGGAGAGAGGGGGCGGAGGAGAGGGAAGGGAAGGGAGATGGAAGGGAAGGGAGAGAGAGGGACGGGAGAGGGGAAGGGAGGAAGGATGGAGAGAGGGATGTGGAGGAAATTTCGATTCAAGTGCGGTCCACGAGGAGCCACGAAGGAGGAAGGAGGAACATAAAGACGGGGGTATGAGGAGGAATCCCTACCGTGCTGGAGTGCATTCACGGATTCACGAAGTACATGTGAGACAAACATGCGGTTGAGAGCCGAAGTCGCAGGGTGGGGACGTTGGGCAGGAGGATGGAGGAGGAAGTCGGGGCTGGTGGAGTTCCGTGGCACATCCTGAGGCCCTTTCGGACACAACTCGGAGCTCAGATTCTGGACTGGGTCGGATCAGGCTCAATTTACACCCAAGAGTTCCCCAGGCCGAGGACCAATCCAACCTCCCAGGAGAAGCCACCTGAGAGGATGATGGGCTGAGTGGCGCCGCGACTACCAGATGGACAGGCCAGATCAGTAAGCCACATTGAGCCGGACTTGGCTAGATAGGGCTGGACTGCTGCCAAGGAAGTTCCACCGACCCCAGACGTCGTGATCTTTAGCCATCGGTCGGAAGAAGTAGGTAGAAACACGAAGTAGGAAGGCGTTGACGCAGAATGGGTTTCCGCCCGCCTCCTGTAGTGGCGAAAAGAAAGAAAATCACTCGATCATTGAAGTAGGAAGGCGCTCAAAGTAGATTGGAATCTGATAATCAAAAAATACATACTTTAAACGACCGATGGGCAACGAAATGGACCCACAGGCACTAACCTTTGGCCCTGTCTACACTAGAGCTTAACCTCCATGGAAGCGCAACCAAAGAGCAGGATGCATGGGCCGGGTCGCGCTCAGACTTCCAGCGCCAGGACTTTCGCAATGCGGGCTGGAGGGTTCGACCCCCTTCCCCTGGGGGGCAATTTGACTACCTGCCAGGCCACCCCAACCTAAGCCGAAGACCCGCACTTCGGGTTTGGAGGGTACGAGCTACACACGTGTTTTTTCAGTGTTCCCCGACCCCCCCCACTGGAAATGGAGGGCGAATCGGGGCCTTCGGGTTGGGTTGGGATGGTGTGGTGGGCGGTGACAATTTGATCCCGAGCTATTCAGGTGACCGTCCTGAGGCCTGGTGAGGGTCCGCGGGCGCCGAATAACCACAAAAAAAATCCGTTGTGATCTTCCCCCGACACAAGGAGGTCTAGGACTATCTTTTGGTGCGTTCACAATCTCAATCTCTTCCTTGATGGCGACGCCTTTCGGCCTCTAGATCCCCATCTGGGCCAGAAAAGCTGGGGTATTCACGTGCGCGTGCCGTGTAACATGCCGGCAAAACAATTAGAGGTCAATAAATACTTCCAAGGTGGCAAAAAAACGGCTACCCACCAACCCACCCACCTTACCCAGCGAGCCCAATCATGCACACGCCATTAGAATACGACACGCTCTCCTGAACCCCGTCAGAGAAACGTGGACGGCGCGAATCGGGGAAAATCCCAAAAACTTGGCGGATTAGGCTGCCTGGCCTCAAATCGCCGCAAGATGCGGAGCCCCAGTCCCCGGACCTCTGGGCCACCTCCCACCCCTCCTCCTCCTCCTCCTCCTCCTCCTCCTCCTCCTCCTCCTCCTCCTCCTCCTCCTCCTCCTCCTCCTCCCAGAGACAGCCCCGCCGCCCCGCGTCATCGTCTCCGACGGCCCCGGGGTCCGCGAGCGGCCTCCAAGGAGGACGAGCACCGAGAGCACCGTCGGTCCGGTCCGTTGTCAAGGCGCGTGAGGCGACAAAAAGCGCTGAGTCTGAGGTGCGTTTCAAGAAAACGCACCCTTTGGTGCGTTTTCTTGACCCTGGGGTGCGTCTCAAGAAAACGCTGACCCTGACAAAAAACGCTGACCCTGAGGTTGCACCTCCTGGCGGCAAAAAAAAAATCGCCAGGAGGTGCAACCTGACTACAGGCAGCCCGTATCACAGGGATGCGCGACAGGGATGCAAGGGCCTCGGAGGGCCAAGAATGACGTTCTTCGAGCGAGGCTGGCCCGCGAAGGTCGCCAGGGAGGGGCCGAAGGGGCAAGGATGCAAAGGGTACCCTCGGGAAGCTTGCCCGTTTTTAATACATGCTCTGCGTGCGGATCATGTATTAGAAGTGAAGGGATTTAGTATTAAAAACAAGCATGAGTTCATGCATCGATTTTCTCATTGATTCATCATGTATTGAAAATCCTATATCTTTAAAAATCCTATGCGGGTTGACTGTAAGGGGTCTGGGTCGGGCGGTCGAAGATCGGCCCCTGGGCCCATCACGGGGCGCGCTCGGGCAGAGGCGGATCCAGTTTTTGGCGACGAGAGGCCTCCCGGGGCCTCCCAAGGACAGCACAAAAGCCTGTGACATCGAAGCTCGACCCCTCGAGCCTCGAGGGAGTCCGTGCCCGACGTCGGTGCCGAGAAGGGGGCGGTGCAACCCGAGGGGAGGCCCGAAGTGGTGCGGCCGCCGAGCAGCAGGGGGCAAGCTGCGAGGAGGATGGCAAACACGCCCGAGAAAGGCCGGCCCCTCGTCGCTCAACCCCACGGCCCTCGAGGCCCAAGCGCCGTGCGCAGAAGGCTGGGAGGAAGGATGCGTGCCCTGAGGGGACCGAGCCCCGGACCCCAGGGGCCAGCGCGTCATCCCGAGTCGTTCGCTGTCAGCCCTGGGGCCTGTGGAGGGCCGGAAGCGGCGAAACACCTCAGGACCCGCTTGCCTCCGAACCACGCTGCTCCACGGCGACGAACGGGCGACAGAAGCCACCGGCGGCATCCGTTAGGCGGGCGGCCCCGCGTCTCGAATGCACACAGAGTCCGCGGCGACACCGACAGCGAGGCCCGTCCGAAAACGGACAGGAACCGGAATCTTCGTCCCCATTCTCTCCGTACCCATCTGGGGGCCTCCCGGATGGGGTTCGAGCAGACGGGGTCGGAGGATCGCGCCGCATCGACGCTGCATAGCCGATGCACTGGCGACGTCGGCGATACATCGGAGAGAACATCGGGTTCCACCTCGAGCCGCATCGCCGATGCGGCGCGATCCTCTGGCCTCGTCCGCTCAGACCCCACCTTTGAGCAGGGACCGACCGTCCCGGCATTCCTATAGGCCTCCCACGAAATCTTCTTAGAACCCAAGGTTGTTTAATAAGACAGACCATGTTCTTAGAACATATAAACCAGCTGTGCTAAAACAAAACAGTCTCAGCCAGAAATGTTCCAAGAACATTTCGTGCAGACCACCCACAAGGTTCTTAGAACATCCCTTGGTGGGTCTATAGGCAAGCCAAGACGCTTCGCCGCTGCTTGACGCCTGGGAGGCTGGATCCCTTTGATCCTACCGACTTCCGACGCTGCTTACCAGCCTGGAACATACCCCTGTCCCTATGCTGGGCACCTCCTCATCACGGTGCCAATCTTAGGGATTCCCTTATTTTTTGAGGGCGAATCCCTAAGATTGTCATCGCCTTTTGGCGTGTCAATCATAGGGATAGGGATACGTTCGAGGCTGGTAAACTGCAGGAGAAGGCCGGGCGCCAGGCTCGAGGCCGCGGCCGGCGCCGCCGGAGCCAGACCGCGGCGGCGGGCAGCGGGCGGCCTTGGACCACGGGCTCGCACTTGGGGTCCTGGGCGGCGGGCAGCGCGAGGCCCGCGCCCTCGCGGGGAGGAGGAGGAGGAGGAGGAGGAGGAGGAGGAGGAGGAGGAGGAGGAGGAGGAGGAGGAGGAGGGAGGAGGAGGAGGAGGAGGAGGAGGAGGAGGAGGAGGAGGAGGAGGAGGAGGAGGAGGAGGAGGAGGAGGGGGGAGAGGGGGGGGGGGGAGGAGGAGGAGGAGGAGGAGGAGGAGGAGGAGGAGGAGGAGGAGGAGGAGGAACTTCTGCTCCGCACGCGCGGCGGCCGCGGCGACGCGATGCACCCTGCAAGCGGACAGCGCACCGCTCCGCTCCACGTGGCGGGCGGGCTGGGAGGGGCTCGGGACGTGGACGCCTTGGGGGCCGCCGGGAGGTGGTTTTACCAGCCTCGAACGTATCCCTATCCATAAGATTGGCACGCCAAGAGGCGATGACAATCTTAGGGATCCGCCCTCAAGACATAAGGAACTCCCTAAGATTGGCATCGTGATGAGGAGGTGCCCAGCATAGGGGTAGGGATATGTTCCAGGCTGGTGAGGGTTGGCGTGTCGAGCCGCCGCGCGGGAGGGACAGGCCCAGACAGCCGGCCGCTCCAGGAACTCTTCGGTGCGTGGGCCCCGGAGGTCCCTGGTGCCGGTTCTTCGTCTCGCGAGCTGTT